AACAGGGTATTGTTCCCTCCTTCCTGTCCTCTCCAGGCTAAATCACTACGGAAGCTTTTTTTGTTTTGGTCAGCTCTGCCACCACCACCTGCTTCTCCATCTCCACCTCTTTTCATAAACCCCCCACTGAAAACTACTCAGTCACAGACCTGAAAAAAAAACCTCTGTAAAGAAACCTCAAACAGCCATTCATTTGTTTAGAGATGCACAAACCCTCAAGGTCACAAGGTTGGAAGCTCAGACATCCTTCAAGGAGTCAAAGGTTGTCTGCATGTGAAAGATGGCAGCATTACTTTAATATGAGACAACGTAGAAAAAATGTTAATTTTAAAACTGTTTAACCTCATATTCTTGTTCTATATTGCACATTTACTCCGTTGGAAATTACACTTGATTTTTGCTGCTTCTAATTTTCCAGACACCAATATTTTAACATTTCTGAAAATAAAAATTAATGAGATTCAATGAGATCTGAAATTGTGGCATCGAAATAAAGGTTATGATTATGATTTTTGGTAGCATTACAGCTCACGGTAAGTGCATAAAGCATTGTTTTTTGTTTGCATCTGCATCTACTAAAGCATTTAAACTTGGAAAATGGGATATCCCAGCAAGCATTTTTTTTGTTTGTTTTAAAAAATGTCTAACAGATTTCTAATAAACATCTAAAGATAGTCATCTTGGCTAAAACAAGGTTAAATTTGGGCTGCCTAAGAATAGGCCAAAACTAGGCTCATAATAAACAGAAATGAATGACATATAAAGTCTGTCTAATCTGTCTATTTGTGTCTAGTTTTGGTCTTTTAGATTTTCACTGACAGCCCAAGTTTAGCCTTGTTTTAGACAAGCTGTCTATGTTTAGATGTCTATTAGACGTCTATTAAACACAAAATTGTTTGATGGGATGTGATGTCAGATTTAACAACAGGATTTACACGTATGTTTTTGAATTTGACACAAGAACAATTTTTTCATAAAATATACTAAAAGCACTAGCGCAGTGCTATATATTACGTTATATTACTATCCCAAATGTTTGGAGAAATGTTTAAATTCAGAAAAGTAAGCAATTCTAACTATAGAGACATGGACACTGCAAAATAAAAGCTCCATTGCTTTTGTACAGTTTCACAGTCATCTCTCATCAGCAATTTCTACAGCGGTCTTGTTTTACAGCCTCAGGGGCTGATCATACTGAACATAATTTCTGCTGAAGTCCCATAGCATGTAATGAAGGAAGAAGACGACACCCATGATCCTATCCTCAGTCACTGTAGCCCCTTTCACACAGCGATACCGGTAAATTAAAAAGGCGCTGTCCACACAGGCAAGAAAAGACCATTCACACATCCATTGAAAATTAGAGGAGAAATGACCTCTAAACGGCTGGGCTTGTATTTGTAAACATAGAAGGGGTCTGGCTTTTGTTGATGGTTTCCCTTTTTTTTCTAAAGCTTTAGCATTCATGCAGCTTTTACCCAGAGACATCCAATGGCAGAAGTGCAAGCTAAAATGCTTACACATCTGACTACATTACAAATCCTGTGGATGAAAAAGCATTGTGAACAACTTCGATAAAAACATATGGAGGAACACTTTCACATGTCGAGATGTACATAATATGTGTGTGTGCTGGAACTCACCGGAGCACTCCTTCAAGTACACAGCACACGCATCAAGCAACTAAAGCAGACCATGAAGGTAAGCAGCGGTTTATCATAAGCATTTTATTGATCACTTTTTACACAGTTGGCATTAAGAAGGAACAAAGAAACGTTATCTGACTAACATCTAGCAGCTAAATGTGTCTGGAAAAATATTCAAAGACTTTTATTTTTAAAAACTGCATGGATGTGAATGCATCTGAAGGTTCTGATTGGCTACACGTCTCACGTCAGCGCGTTATAAACATGAACGTGCTCTTTCTGGTAATTATCCTTCTGCGTTCACACAGCGCAGGATTCCGGCACATTAACAGTAATTTTACAACTTCTCTTTCTGCAAAATTACCAGAACGAATTTACCAATATTTTCAAAAAGTGCCTGTTCCCACATTCAGACCTTTCTGGAAAATTGCCAGTAATTTTCCGGCAAGATCTGAATGTGTGAAAAGGGCGTGTCATCAGACTGTTTGTTGGGAATACACGCCCTCTAGCTGCGAAGAGGAGGAAAAGGTGATCAATAATATTGTTTTTTACTTTGTTTTGTCATGGGAAAAACACTGCAAAAATGTAAGACATGAGCTTGATGGTCAGATGTTTCATCCAATGCTTGAAAAAAAATTAAGATGCAGTATATAGTGAAATGCAAAAAACTTGTTCCCTGTGAATGACTCCATGAAAGCAGCCAGAAGGCAGCAAATAGGTCTTAAAATGCTGTTTGTTACATATTCATATTCAGTTACAATTCCCTTGTTTACTTATTACAAGCTAATTTCTTGTATTTTAGTATTTACCGTATTTGAGCAGATAAACATTTTGGTCACAGATGACCTACTTCAGAACGTTCTATGGCACACAGTGTAGATTTTATTCCCAAATTAATAAGCACCGGTTTCATTTTAATATGTGGTAATTATGTATAATTAGCCAAGTCAACCATTATACATACTCTGATGGCAGATGTTCCAATCTATGTGGTGTAATTACGCAGTTAAAAATGCTTAATATGTATTGTTCTCATCATCATAAATATTTGTTGCACTGAAGTCATTTTGGTGTTGGCTTTTTTATGTCAGGTTAGCAGCTTTTAAAAGCCAACGGGGAGAAATGATGATTATTAAGAGTGTAAAAAATAGAACTGCTGGAGTGTGTGGTTGTCTCAGAGCCATGGGAACACACACACACACGTCACTCTGTTTGACTGAAGATTCCGCTGTGAGGGAAGGCTCGCATCGACATGTCTATACACATGATACAGAACGTGTTTTGGGCGAGGTACAATGTGAACTTGGTCACAGAGGCGTAGCCATGCAATTATACATTTGTGTCTTTTTACTCCTTTCAATAGCGTGTATAATTTTGCAGTAAAGAGAATATCTTTTTTAAACGCAATGACGACATCCTCGCTCTGTCTGATGAGATCCTCTGTCTGACGGGCCTACACTCGTACTATGGTCAGGTGTGTGTTTATTTGCTGTCCTAAATTGCATGGGGTGACTGTTTAAGAGGACATTTGCAGTTAGTGTGAGTGAAGGGTGTGAAGATGCATGTCATTTGCTGTGAAACCAGATTGTGTCATCAACTGTGGGTGACCTTTCACCTAATTTCTGTAATGCTTTGTAGTAGGATGGATTGGAATATTTAATAACACTTTACTGTAAGGTGTTTTTTTTCCATTGCAATCACACAAGTATTAACAAACCATGTAGATTCAGGGTTAGTTTGTTGTAATTATGCCTAATTCCCTAAAAGTATATGTTAAGGAGTTCAACCAAAATTGTACATTTTGATATAATTTACTTCCTCTTTACTCGTTTCAAACACTTATAAGTTTTTTTTTCTTCTGTTAAATACAAAATAATGTATTTTAAAGACAATTGGAAACCAGTAATTATTGACTTTTTTCTACTTTGGAAGTCAGTGGTTTCAGATTTTGTCATTACACCTTTTCTTTTCTCGCGCTCTCTAGAGATTATGCAGCGCCACTGATGCAATTCAAGACCTGTGAAGAAATTATGCCAAGGTATCCATAATCTTGGACCAGGCCATATCCTGAGCTAACGCTGTAATGGTTATGGAGGAGTGGAAAGCATGAGACTGATTCCTGAACAACCACAGTGACAGACGAGTCTCTGCAATGATCCTGTGCCAGCCTGATCACCCACCGGTGACCTACTCACACCTGCAGTTCTCCACGATCCACGTTCATCGTTCTCCAGCCTCTGGCACCTAGACTGCAGCTCTGCACAAGAAGTTTGCACAGAGGAGAAATTGTTGTGCCCAACAGAGCCTGGTTTCTCTTGAGTTATTTTTTTTCCTTCACTTTCGTCAATTGGTGAAGTGGGTCATTATCACTATAAAGTGCCTTTGAGACATCAAAATTTTAAAAAAATAGTTTGAGATTTTTTATTTAACCACATAGTTGTATTAATTACATCGTAGTCTGTAAATCAATAATGTTGGTCAAGCTCCTGCCTTTTATATATATATATATATATATATATATATATATATATATATATATATATATATATATATATATATATATATATATATATATATATATATATATATATATATAAACTGCAAGCAGAAAAACATTAAACAAACCTCAAATTGTGTCAACCCTGTCAATGTGACCCTTTTGAGTCTCTTTATATTAATGGATATATATGGACAAAACATTTATTTCACAATAAAATATGCATGTTACTTTTTAAAATAAAACCCAAGATCTAAAGTATTTTGTCAAAACTTTAAACAATATTAACTGGCTCTTTTTGGTTTATTAAGAAATCACACATGATGTCTTGCTGGCGTTATAAATAATTTGTTTATTTTCATAAAATTTAACATGACGGTGAAAAACAAGATGACAGGTGTATCTTTTTATTTATTATTTCCTTTTCAACCGAAGAAAGACACTAATAAAGGTTTGGAACCACTTGAGGTTAAGTAAACAGTGAGTGCATTTTACTTGTTGAGTGAACTATCCCTTTAACTCCCATGACTACCAAACTGTCCTTCAGAAACCCGCTTTTGTTCGGATAATTGTAAAATCTCCATTTTGTTTCTCACATTTCCTGTACTTTTTGAAAGAGTTTTATTATGTGCAAAACACAAGTTAGCTTAGGTCATATAATTACAGCACCTGATGATTTCTGGCATTAGCAAAGCAGTGAGTCAAAACACATGCACGCATCGGACAACTTCCTGATAAATGTTTTTTTATCTCTTTTCAAGCAGAAGCCAAAGCTCCGCCCCTTCGCTCTCCATCGCGACGTGATTGGATGAGCGGGTCTTATCGCGCCTGTGCTCTGCAACAGCTGCGAGCCGCTCAGATGCTACTGGAGACGGACGAGGACGCTTCACTTCTGTGGATGAACGCTTTGTCTGTCCTGTATGAAAGAGGAGCGCGGACACCCCGGGACGGGCTGCTGGCTTCGACAGTAGCGTTAAAGGAGTCGGGAACTTTTACAGGTACATTTGGAAAGGATTCGGAATTGTGTGCGTTGTGTATGTAGCGGTTAACGAGCGTAATCTGCTGAGGAATGATTTAAAATACGGAGCGCTGCTTCTGCATTGCGTACGGGGAAGAGGCTGAAATTGGATTCTGACGAGTGGTTTAATTCGACCCTGTCTTTGTCTGGTAATAGCTTTGCCCGTGATCTGTCGTACTCGTGTGTTTGTGGAAGAATGGGGGCCAGGCGCCGCAGTGGGCAGTGATCGCTTTAACACAGGCTGTACGTGCGAACTCGAACGAGCAGCTATTGGCAACTGGCACGTACGCTCCCAACTCCATGTATCTAGATCAAGCCATCAAAATACTCCCTAGAGATCGTTTGGCTTGCGTTTGACTGATTTTTATCTCTAGGAGAAGCGTAATTAAACGATGCCATTTGCTCGAAAAGGATAATAGAGGACGATTGTGTATGGTGTTTTATTAGAACCTTGAACGTGTCACCGTCGCGCAGCTTTTGGTCGGTGTTGTTGATGCAGTGTAAAAACAGCTTTAAATGATAGCTTTAACGGAACCGTTGCCTTAAATCTTTAATTAACATACGTTGTTAAGTTTATTTCGCACGTTCAGTTAACTTTGATCTTAACTGGGGTTAGAAAAGAGTCTAAAATTGCTTAAAGCGAGGGATTGACACAGGGGTCGTTAGAGCTTAAGTGGCTGGGAACACCGATGTTGTTACCACAATAATAAACATTTTTCGAGTGTGCTGTGGGAGGGGGTCTCGAAAGAAACTTTCTGTTTCTCTGCCACCTCTCCCTTCTCGAGAAAGGAATGGTTTCAGCTTACGCCTAATTAAAAGTATTGATTAGTGACCTGTAACGCCTGTTAGGGAGCCAAGCGATAATAACGCAGACCATCAAGGCTAATAAAAATAAATAGCCTATAAATAGTGACTCTTATTGTGATCTGTTAAACACGTTCTACGCGATGAGATTTTTGAAAACTATAAACACAGTATAGGACAATACAATCAGTGGACATATTTGGAAGAATTAAAATTACAGACAGTAATTTTACTCGCATTTTAGCGACTTGGTGTGGAGTTCGGTTTTAAAGCAAACGTTGTTATTTTCTTGAGCACTTTGAAGCTTTAACTTGTAAAAGGACTTGTAAAACAAAATACAAAATGTTTACCTATGGTTAAAAGCTATGGCAAAGCGGTACCTAGGCTAATGGTAGCGCTAATGTTTTGATAATGTGATGTCAGATATTTATCTTGATGGGAACGCTTCCAGCGCGGTAGACTGTTGCTATAGTAACCACCTCAGGTGAACGCGAGTTTAGTTTGCTGGCATCTGTTTTACACACACAGGACAAACGTTTATTATAACTTGGTAATTTCTGGAAATAATAAAACTTATAGTAATAAATACATCGTTTATAAATGAATAAAGTTGATGAACCTACATTTATTCGTTTTGGCTTTTTTAAAACAGGTGTCGTGGAGACAGTTTTGCACCATGCAGGAGGCAGTTGACACCGCCGAGCCCGCTTTAGCTCTGCCCATGGGGACCGGAGAGTTCACAGAGCAGCAGATGGGACTCGCAGACAAGATCCCGTTAGTGAAGCCCTGCTTCAAAAAGAAGCACGCACAGAGGAAGCTGGACACAAAATGCTTACGCGCTTTAGAGGACCCTATTTTGAGCACGTTATTAAGCTCAGATGCTCTCGTCTCAGGGGACGGAGTGTTTGTTCCACGTAACCCGCCTCGACCTCAGCGGAATATATGCACCGCCGCCGTGGAAAAGCAGTCGAGGATTAGTCAGGTGTGCCTGAAGGAGGAGGACGAGAGCACGGATGCCGACGTGGCCGCGAGCGAGCTTGCGGTGGAGCAGAAGGTGACGGATATTCAGCGAGTGTCAATAGACGCTAATGAGCGTCGCTTCCCGCCCCAGGAGCGCGACGAGGCGGCGCCCCCCTCCGATGTTTCGGGCTCCAAGTTAAATGACATCTACACTGCTGAGACTTTGCAGGGAGCAAATTGCCTCGCCATCAAAGAGGGCGAGATCTTTCAGGATAAAAGCGAGGAGGCCTCTTTGGATCTAGTGTTTGAACTGCTGACCCAGCTCCAGTATCACACGCATCAAGGGGATGCTGTATCGATTTGTGTGGATTTCCTCCAGGGCGTTTGCGTCTATGGCAGTGACTGTGCCCAGCATCACACCGTTTTACCTTACCACTGGCAAATCCGCAGAGTAGATACGCAAATCTGGCAGAGCATATCGGACGACTCTCAAGAACAACTGGAAAGGCTTTATTGCAACCCGGATAACGAACATGTCAGACTTAAGTTCCTGTAAGTGCTTTTGGTTTATGCCACTTTTCACTAAAATTTTTTTTGTTTTGCCTAACCCAATAGCAAAAAGGAAGTATAGGTATGCAAAGCTTTTAGTTCAGTGAGAAAACAAACATAATTGGTAAAAGGGAGGGACTGGTGTGACTTTCACCTAAAAATACAAAAAAAAAAAACAAAAGCTACCTAAACCAGTCTGGTTCACAGATCTTATTTCATTCAGCTGGTCAGCCAGCCAGACCTGATAAAAAAAGTGGACAAAAAACATTCTAAACCCAACAACTAGGCTGCAGTATATTGAGTGACTACTGAGGGAGGCAGAGAGTTTGAGTGAAAGAGTGCAGTACGTGACAGGAAGTTGCCCTGTGTGCAGGAGCGTGTGTGTTGTGAGTGAGGTATATATGTGACTAAGAGATTGTGTTTTTCCCATAAGCCTTCCGCTGGCTGGCTTGACATGTGGAAGCGTACTGACAGCTGTAAGCCGTGAACTTGCTCGACCCGCCTCTGCTTGGTTTGGTCAAACACACACACACACACACACACACACACATACACGCACGCTCCCACTCGATGTGGCTTGAGCTCAGACACTCACACGCACTGGTTGCATAGACAGAGGAAGGCTCACACGCAGACTTGCTCACAAACACGCAAATAAATGAGCTTTGGAGACAGACGCAATTGTGCACACACTCACCCACCCACACTTGCTTTCATGCACGCACACATTAAGTCACTGTAAATGACGTTTTTTATTTTGTGTTTTTCATCATTTACACACAAACATCACCAGACATACCGGTAATGTACTCCACTGCCACAATTGATATCCCTGAGCTGAAACTGTGGTAGCAGGATTTTTTCCTCTTCTTTGCCTAAACAGAAGGGACCTTTTGTTTATGAGTCTTATTTAGGTCTCGATCCTGATCTGTATGCAAAAGCAGTTTGCAAAAGGAAGTGCACTTGGTCATGACAAAGCAGAAGAGACAGTGATTTTAATGCTCACCATGACACAGCTCCTGGCTGCTTCCTTCTTTAAGATAGCACTGCAGATTTGTCATGGAAATTCTCCCGCAGGACAGCCGACTATTTAGGGGGTCTTTGTGTACAGCGTTTAGTAGAGCGAATGGCCACGTAACCGTCTCTGTTGGCCCATTTAGCCCAGGCGCTCCCAGAACTTTGGTTCACAGTGACCTCTTTCATGTTAATAGCTAAAGCCCACCATTAACCTCCTGCTGACTTTGGTAGTTCAGGGGTAAAGTGAGACCCATAGAGCCTGTAAACCACACCCTTATCTGCTGATCCCCCGTTTTCTTTTTTTTTGTGTGGGTTTTCTCCTGTAGAAGTCATTGTGTAATAATACAGACCATTAACGTGCAGAAAAGAGAAGGACTATGTGACTAGCTGCCTCAGATGGTATCTGGACATTTTAATCACATAATGATGTAGGAGTGTTGTAACTTGTGTGTGCACTGTGAAACCAAAAAACCGATTCCAACAAACCATTTAGGTTCAAAAACTAATCCTAATGAGTACTGTGAACTTAATCCATTTGATTAAACAAAGCAATTTAAGCACAGTAAAACCCAACAAATGAAGAAAACTCAAACCAACTGAGTACTGTGAAACCCAATTAGTTAAGGCAACTCAAACTGTTTGAGGGAACCGATTTCTACTAACCATTTGAGTTAAAAAACAAATCTATTCTGTGAACTTACTCCATTTACCTTGAAGTAACAAGGTATTTATATAACTCAATATCTTACCAAAAATGTTCAAAACGCTTTTCAAATGAGTACAATTACTTTCAGTAAATTGAGTTAACTACTCATTTCATTTGATAAAGTTTACCGTTGGGTTTTACAGTGTGTGTAAAACTGTAGATAGGCTATTCAAGAAAAAATATTTTAGACATAGCAAGAGTTTTTAATTATGCATTAATACATATACAGTTTAAAATTAAGATAAAGTAATTTGGACATGTTCTGTTTGGCTAGCTGAAGACAAACAACTCCAAAAGCAACTTTTTAGTTCTTTGTTTGACAAATGTTTTACTTGCCTTAAGTTTTCTAATTCAGGTTCACTGTGTATTTCAATTGTGGATCACACTAACCAACTTACTCCTCATGTTTTAAAGAAAAACATATATATTATGAAGGCTTTTCAAGTGAAATGTTTCAGTTTTAAATGATAAATCTGTAGATATACAGTTTAGAATTAAAATACATTATTTAGATACTTGTTTGTGAGACATAAGTCTAAAATGGCATTTTAGGGGATTTTAATTTCAGCTGTAACCACAGTGTCCATATATTTTGGGTCTGTTTTATGCTAGAATGCCAAGACACGTGATCACTAGTATGGCTGATACCGTTTGCTTTGTTTTGCCATGATTTAGAGGAGCAGAGCCTTTCTTTGTTTTGTGTGTGTGTGTGTGTGTGTGTGTGTGTGTGTGTGTGTGTGTGTGTGTGTGTGTGTGTGTATGTGTGTATGAGTTTTTGTGTCAATGTGTGAGTGCTGTGACCCTTGATCCTGAGAGTTTGGTCTCCATGTGAGCAGCCGAGGGTGAGATGATTGTGTTTGTCACACAATCTCACTGTGCACCAAGGGCACAGTGACCTGAAACCAAGGTGTTTGCATGTGTGTTTACGTGCATGTGTGCCTGCGTGTGTGAGAAATAAGATAACGCCTTAGACGGGCCATGAAATTATTCACATGGGTGAGGTCTCTTGACTACTTGTTGTTTGCCGTCAGTTTGACTCATAAAAATGAGCTCTTCCGGCATTCTTTTTCTCTTATACATAGATATATATGCCATGTAAGTATTAGTAAGTAAAGTATGCAATCATATTGGATTTGTAGAAAATAAACATGTTACTTTACATCTGACGAGACCATGGTATGCTCATAAAATATATGTTTTTGCTGATTGTTCAAATGAGTAAATTTATAATCAGCTAAACAACAAAATAATTTTTGTTTTATGGACAAATAATTTAAATGGTAAAAACCATTAAGTTAGCTAAATCTATTTTTGTTGGGACAACATGAAGGAATGGTGTAGAAGCCAGCATATTTTACAGTGTTCTTTTCTTCAAAGTGTCCATTTTTAGTATTTTATTAGTTCTGTGGTGATAGTATTATTACCGTAACAGATAGTCTCATTGGTTGAAATCATCTTTATGTTAAAGTACAATGGTATTAACATCAAATTTTTATTTTTACCATTTTACACTGCAATTATTCGAGTTTATTTCGTCTTTTATGTGATTGAGGTTATAAAGAGCTCTGTTGCCTCTTTAAAATGGGCTTTCCAACATAAACAAAAGCTGCCAAAATTTGCAGCTGAAATATGTTTATGTGTTCCTCTCTTGCTGAGAGGGACAAAGAGAAAAAAAAGGCAAATAGTGGCTGGATTGTCTGAACAAACAGTTCCGTCTTCGTCCCGCACAGTGCAACAGTAGCGCACGTCCCGTCACTCCTGGCCTCCAGAACATCCTGAGACTTTTTGCAGACTTTTTCGTCTTGTACAGTGAGTAGGAGGGAAACGAGAGCTTTTGCTTGCCCTCAGCTCTTCTGAGTGCGTCCTGCCTTTGTGGAAACAAAAAATGAGAAGTCAAGAGTGTTGATTGAGGTTGATTTATTCCCTTAAATCTGTCGAAGAGGAAGAATGGAAAGCCCTTTGCACTTCATAATCAGCTGCCAGTCAGAGGTTTTATTACGGTAGAGTTTCCGTGTAGATATCATATCGCATCATTACTAAATGAAATGATAGTTGGCTTGGATCAGTGTCATAGAAGCTGGCACGTCTGTACTTAATACAGGAATGTCTTTTCACACATGATTATTTTACTTTAGTGATGGGTACATAATGCAGAGAGACAAGATAGCATAGACAGCTTGATTGATTATTCTGGAAGTGATATATATTGGTCAGGTTGTGGCACTCAGTTTGACGTGTTAGACGTATTTGCGATGGCAGTTGGTCTTCTGTGGAAGAGGTTTTCTTGGCTGCAGACTGGCGATTTATGTCGGTGCTTTGTGGGATTAAAATGCAAACTCTTAAGCAAGTGGGATTATGGATTGTCCAAAAATCACCTGGTTGAACATTAAACCATTGATGTTATTCAGTTAAAGGGATAGTTCACCCTAAAAGTTTTTAACCTCATGTCATTCCAAGCCCAAAAGACTTCTTTGTCTTCGGAACACAAATCAAACCCAAGGTGATTTTTACCTTACCATAATTATTTTTCTTTCTGTAATTTTGATGTTTCAAAAAGTTAATCATAAAGACGTAATAAAAGAAAAACTTTTTTTTTTCAAAGAGACATTATTGCTTTGTATCATGGAAATAATTTATTTTGGTATTATTTTGGTATTAAAATATTTTATTATTTCACATATAATTGTTGATTAGAGAAGATTCACAGAGATCCTTAAATAATGCTTCTGGTAGTTAGGTGCCATTTACACTATAGTTATATTAAGATTACACATGGTGTTCACTACTCACTGTAAAAATGTAATGACAAAAAGTCAAGACAACTAGAGAATTACTACAAGTTTAAATTGTTGAGATATCTTTATATCTAAAAGTTTATTTGATTTGAACTAAAAATGTAAGGCATAAGAATGTGCTATATATGCACAGATAGAGTTTTTCAGCCAATGATTAAGTTCTGATAAAGATTTATGTGACTATTTTCAATTTCATAACATTTTATTTACAGCATCAATATTGTTATGGAATTCAAATATAATCAGTTAAATAGACTCAACAGGTTGTCTGCAGGGTCGTAAAAAGTATGCAAAGTTGATAAATGAATTATGACAATATTAAGGGCCTTAAAAGGTATGAAAAAGTCTTAATTGCTTTTACAAAGTCTTAAATTTTGCATTGTCCAAAGTGTTTGACTCCAAAAAAACAACAGCGTGTTCGATCCGGGGGTATATCCCGCCACGCTCCTTTGTCCAGGTGATGTCTGTAAAACACGGTAAGGTGA